ACATATCCAATTTTTTTTTTTTTTTAAATTAAGCTAAAAGTAGCTGAGCTATGTATAATGATCTGCTATATTAAACCACTTCATGATGTAAGGTAAAACAAATCCAATAGCCTGAACACAGTTTTGCAACTTTATACATGTTTGTAAAATTGTACATATCATTACAACTACTTAGTATAGTCAGGTGAATTATACCTTGGTTTTTATCCGGACAAATTGACCTTTGATTTGGTGGTAAATGGTAATCGATATCTCCTGATTTTATTATTATTATCAAAGGAAAATGGCACCAAATAGTAAAATTGTTTTGTTTAATTTAGCTGTATATTTCTTGCTATTACCATAACCTACCCAAACCAAAATAAATTCTCCTGCTCTTGTTCATCACAGAGATACCACATATGGGGGAGATTAGAGAACTAAATGCATGGCTAAAGACTTGGTGTATGAGGGAAGGATTTGGGTTTCTAGAGCACTGGGCTGACATTTCATTGGGGTGCAACCTATATGCTAGAGATAGTTTGTACCTAAATGGAAGGGGGTCTGCTGTGCTGGGGGAGAGCTTTATGGGATGGCTAGAGGGGTATTTAAACTAGCATCGAGGGGGAGGGAGAATTACCGTAAATTATAATGGGGCAGACAGAGCAGATAGGGGTCAGTCCTTATTGGTGGGTGGAATGGGGAAAAATGGGGGGAGGCCTATGGCTGGTGATAAGAAGGTTCCCTATGTTACAAACAACCTTTGGAATTCCTACCATTTGTTCGAAAATAAAAAAATATGCAAAATACAAGTGCACAAGGTGTCAATGAATTAAAGTGTTTGTTCACCAATGCCAGAAGTCTGCCAAGCAGAATAGGTGAGTTGGAAGCTTTGGTGCAGGAACAGAACTATGATTTAATTGGTATTGCTGCATCTTGGCTTCATTCTTCACATACCTGGGCCATTAATATTCCTGGCTATGTTCTCTTTTGGAGAGAAAGGGGAAAAAGGAAAGGTGGTAGTGTCTGTCTCTATGTGAGAAGTGATCTCAGAGCGAGTGTGAAAGAGGACCTAGTTGATGGAGAGTGTGATGAGGCTGAAGCATTATGGGTGGAACTGCACATTGGGGTGCATACTACAAAGGTAATATTTGGAGCTTGTTATAGGCCACCCAGTGATAATGAGGAGGTGGAGACTCAGTTCCTTGCACAGATCAAAAGATCTGCAAGGGCTGGGACAGTGATAATAATTGGGTATTTTAACTACCCGGAAATTGGCTGGAGTTAAGGCACTGCAGGAACAGTTAAAGGGCAAAAATTTATAAACCTACTACAGGACAATTTTGTGGTAAAGTTCATAGAGACCCGAACTAGGAATGATGCTCTGCTGAACCTGGTAATCACAAACCATGCAGAGCTTATGTCCATATAAAAGAACATCTGGGTAACCGTGACCATAAAATGATTTTGTTTATTGTTAGCTGTAAACAGCAAGCACATATGAGAAAAATAAAACCGCTGAATTTTAAGAGAGCTAATTTTCCAAGGCTGAGAACTGCTCTCCAAGACTTAGACTGGGAGGGAATGTTGGCATCGATGATCACAACACAGAAATGGGAGTTCTTCAAAAAGACTATGTGAACACACTGCAAAATATATTCCCATGGACAACATGTTTAAAAGGCTAAAAATCAAACCTATGTGGCCTTACGACCAAAGTTGAAAAAGCCATAGATAATAAGAAAAGAGCTTTTATTAAATATAAAAATGAAGGAATGCTTTCATCGTTTAAACATTACAAAGAATATAACAGAATATGTAAAAAGAAAATCAAGGCCTCAAAAATGTAAAACGAACGACAAATTGCAAAAGATAGCAGGACCAACCCCCAAAAATTCTTCAAATATATTAATAGTAAAAAGGTCCGGTCCAAGCATGTAGGCCCTTTACAGTGGGTGACTGGGGACAAAGAGAAGGCAAATTTATTAAATACCTTCTTCAGCTCTGTGTATGAAAAGGAGCATGGGGGAGCTCTTGTCCATAATGGGCATAGTATTGACACAGCTCCAGATGATCCACATTGGCTCACAACTAATATGATCCAGAAATATATAGAATAAAGGTGAATAAAGCACCTGGACTGGATGGCATACACCCACGGTCCTTAAAGAATTGAGCTCTGTCATTTCAAAGCCATTGTTTCTAATTTTTAGGGACTCTTTAATGACTGGCGTAGTACCACTGGATTGGCGTAAGGTCAGCATGGTGCCTATATTTAAAAGGGTTCAATATCTTTACCAAGTAATTATAGACCTGTTAGTTTAACATCTATAGTTGGGAAGATACTGGAGAGCTTAATAAAAGACCACATAGATGAGTTCTTGCTGGAAAAAAATATTTTAGGCAACAGACAGCATGGATTCATGAAAGACAGAAGTTGTCAAACAAATCTGATTTCTTTTTATGAGGTGAGCAAAACCTTGGACAGAGGGGTGGCGGTGGACATGGTATACTTGGATTTTGTAAAAGCGTTTGACACAGTTCCCCACACATGGCTAATGTGTAAGGTAAAGTCTACAGGCTTGGAAAAATCTGTATGTAAATGGGTAGAAAACTGGCTAATAGATCGTATTTAGAGAGTAGTGGTTAATGATTCATACTCTGAATGGTCTAGGGTTGTTAGTGGTGTACCCCAAGGTCCAGTGTTGGGACCCTTACTTTTTAATATATTTATAAACCATATAGGGTCTGGGATTAAAAATACCATTTCAGTCTTTGCAGATGACACCAAGCTGTGCAGTGGAATAATGTCCTTAGAGGATGTCTTCAATTTACAAGCCGACTTGAATGCACTGTGCAGTTGGGCAACTATGTGGCAAATGAGGTTTAATGTTGATAAATGTAAGGTTATGCACTTGGGGGGCTAAGAATATGTTTGCATCATCCATACTAGGGGGGGGTAAAACTGGGGGAAGCAATGGTGGAGAAGGATCTGGGAGTTCTGGTAGATCACAAGCTTAATAATGGCATGCATGCAATGCCAAGCTGAGGTTTCTAAAGCGAGCAAAATCCTCTCTGGTATTAAAAGAGGTATAGACTCCCAAGAGAGATATGTAATTTTACCCCTGTACAAATCATTAGTAAAACCTCATCTGGAATATGCAGTTCAGTTTTGAGCACCATTTCACAAAGAGATAATTGGGGAACTGAAGAAAGTACAGTGAAGGGCAACCAAACTGATAAGAGACATGCAGGAGCTCAGCTATGAGGAAAGATTAGAGGAACTGAATGTATTCTCTCTTGAGAAGAGGGATTAAGGGGGGATATGATCAACATGTATAAATACATCAGTGGTTCATATAGTGAACTCTGTGTAGTTTTTCACCCTGAGGTCATCTTAGAGGACAAGGGGCACTCTTTACGTCTGGAAGAAAAGAAATGTAATCTCCAGTACAGAAAGGTTTCTTCACAATAAGAGCTGTGAAAATGTGGAATAGACCAGCCTTTCTCTACTAGGGTGCCTTGGCAAAATGTCTAAAAATTGCTCAAAAATTGTATATAAGCCAGCGGGTGGGACAAGTCTGCCTTTTATTTACACAAAGCCATAGGTTTTCATTGTGCACCATTACAACCTTCTAGCCACCAGCATCCTGACAACCAATGACATCATCAGTTAAGGAGGATGTCATCTGCCTGCACAGCATTCTAGTTTGACTCTCTCCTGCCCCTCTTCATCAGTGTTGGGATCACATTAGCTCAGTGATGGAGAATAGAGGGAGAAGAGAAACACTGGAATACTACTCAGTACCAGTGTGTAAAAGTGTATTTGCTTTGGAAGAATAAATCACCAGTAATCTTGGGTGTCCTACATGTTTAGATGTTGCTGCGTTACATTAAACTATTAGAATATTTTTTCACTTTTTAGAATGGGGTGCCTCTTTAAAATTATGGATAGTCTTGAGGCACACCATTTTAGAATAGGGTGCCTCAAGACTGTCCATTTTTTTAAAGGGTGCCTCGGGGCTGTCCATAATTTTAAAGGGTGCCTTGACTGAAAAAAGGTTGAGAAACACTGGAATAGACTTCCTCAAGAGTTAGTTCTGGCCAGCTCAGTGGATTGCTTTAAAAAAGGCCTGGATTCTTTCCTAGATACTCATAATATAACTGGATACTAACATTTATAGGTTAAGTTGGTCCAGGGAATATCCAATTGCCTCTCGGGGGATCAGGAAGGAATTATTTACCTTGCAGGAGCAAATTGTATCATGCTTTGCTGTTTTTTTTTTTTTTTTTTTTTTGCTTTCATCTGGATCAACTGTGGGTATATCATTATAACTTTTTTTTTTTTTTAACTAGATGGACTTTTGTCTTTTTTCAGCCACAGTAACTATGTAATTATATACTGTATGTGTATTTTATTGTTTGTAACTGTAGAAGGGCCCATACATTGTTTTTCTACTAAAACACACTGACCCTGACCTTTGGCACTGATTATGACTTTTGACCCTAACCCTGGGACTGACATAGATCAAACCCCAATCTAGCTATTTTTTCTTTTATTTTTTTAAAATTAATATTTAGTTTTTTTTGTTTTTTTTTTTACATAAATATCTTTGTTTCCTCTTCTATTGCAAGGAGAACAAAACACAGGGGCAGGCTATAGAGTGACTGATCACTGTGTTAGCCAATCAAAAGCTATCACAGTGTTCAGGTGGTCAGGAACCAGGACTTCAGGTTCCCTATTAGGATGTGATTCAGCGCGCTCCCAGCACAGGTACACATAAATTAGATTTCTTGAATAAAAACCCACTTCTGTGGGGCTACATATATCTGTACAGGTGGTGTGAGGAGAATTTTGAGGTTATTAAAAAAAATAAACATACTGTATATACTTATATCAATAAATACCAGCTCAAACCCACATAATAAATTGCATCACCCAACCCATTAAATTGGTAATTAATAAATATTACAAACTTAAAAAACTGTGACACAAAAACACTTTTGTGTTATTGAAATAGTAATGAAAAAATAAATAAATGATTTTAGAATTAATAAGTCCAGTGACAAAAAATCCCAAAATAACAGTCCCGTGACAAAATTAATTATATTGTAATTTCATTGGATTCTTCCGTGCCTTTGATACCTTCACCATCCACCAGTGCAAAACCAACATTAACCGCACTCACCAGATAATGGTGAGTCAAACGCCTTTCAGGGATATTAAGGGCTCCTGGACCCCCTTTACTTTGTATAAGACCTCCAAATAATGCCCCTCTCGGATATGGATACCTCTTCTGGTTACTCCTCTCACCGAATCCCCCAGGGAAAATCAGGAAGAAGAAAAAACCATAGTGTGATACCGTAGTGATTTCCAATCAAAAGAATTTCTCCAGACCACTCACATTTTAGCAGGATATAACCCGCATTTTATTGGAACAAAACGATCTTTCTTTAAAAACGATCTATTTTTCATATACAGCGACTTTTGTATAGAGACCCCACAGCCTGGTATACAGCAGGATGACAGACCTCAGATGCAGACTCATCCACTATGCAAAGATGGCCCCTTGGAACGCACCGCTCGGCGTGCGTTCCACTCACCGGAAATGACGTCAGACACCGGAACAGGCAACCGGAAGTGCGTCAACGCGTTTTGCCCCACCCACAGGGCGTTATCAAGACGCTCTTTTCCTCTGCCAAGCCGTTTATAAAGCAGTGGGAGATCCCTCCCACTAATTACCCTGGACACAAAACTATCCATCGCCGCGCCATCCCTCTGTATACCCATGTGAGGTCCCCTCACAACAAAGACAATTACATTTGTATTAAAAACCATACTTTTATCCATAACCTTATGTCTTCTACCCCTAAACATAAGGGTAGAGACAGGGAATTAAGATACATTAATTATTAAAATAAAAATATCAATATAAAAATAAAAATAAATAATAATAATAATTAAATTAAAATAAAATAAAAAATATAAATAAAATAAAATAAAAATGAAAATGAAAAAAAAAAAAAAAAAAATAAAAAAAAAAAATAAATAAATAAAAGTAAAAAATAAAAAAAACTAATAAAATATAAAAATAATAAAAATAATAAAAAAATAAAATAAATTAAAAAGGAAAAATAAAGTAAAAATCCAGAAATATATAATAAAAAATAAAAAACCCCTAATCATGAAAAATAAACTAAAAACTTGGACAAAAAACAGTTTATAAAATCTAATAAACCCATAAAACAATGTACCCATCTGGTATATCCACTTCGTTTCATTTTGAGAAACCATTTATTACCATATTTCCCCCTCTCCAAGGGGCCTCTACTCTATCTATCCCACAAAATTTCAACGATGCCGGATCTCTATTATGATATTTTCTAAAATGGTATGACAAACTATGATGTTTAAATCCCTTCTTTATGTTTCTAATATGTTCTCCCCAACCTGGTGGCAAGTTTTCTCGTTGTTGTCCCTATATACTGGAGTTTGCAAGAGCACTCCAACAAATAGGTGACATGCGTACTGTCACATGATATAAACTTTTTGATCTTATGGGATGCACCATTAAAACAGGATTGAAAATCCTTATAATGCCTTTTACTGTCCCCTTTCAAGGATCTGCAGGCCAAACATCTCCCACACTTGAAAAAACCAGCCCTATCTAGAAATGTAACCACTTTCCTAGGTACATCTGGAACATTTTTCACAAGTCGCGTTCTTAAAGTTGGTGGTTTTCTATAAATAAAACAACGGTTTCATAGGTAGCACTTTCCTCAGAGTTTCATCCCTTATTAGAATTGGCCAATATTTTTTAATGATGTTTTCAACCAATTTATAATGCTTAGAATATCCTGTAATGAAAGCCAAATCTCCTAACTTCTTTTCATTTTCTTTTTTCTTTAAGAGTTCTTCTCTACTAATCTTTCTAACCTGTTCCAATGAAGCAGCCAGAATTTCTTCTCCATAGCCTTTTTCCCTAAACCTTTGCAATAACAACTCAGATTGCTCCAAGAAAACACCTTCATCATCACAATTACGTTTAATCCTAATAAGTTGACTCTTAGGGATGGATTTTAGCCAATTTCTATGATGACAACTAAAATTTGGAATGTATCCATTCCTATCAACTTGCTTGAAATATGTCTTAGTGTAAAACCTATCATCTTTCTTATAAATTGTCAGATCCAAAAAATCCACTGCCTCTTCACTAATATTTTTGGTAAATGATATATTGAAAGAGTTATTCCCCATCTCTTGGATAAACTCCTCCAATGTTTCTCTTGTACCTTTCCAAATTATAATAATATCATCGATAAATCTTCTATAAACTAGCAACTCTGTAGTTCTTCTCTTGAAAATGGCTTCACTTTCCCATCTACTCATGAACAAATTCGCCACTGATGGTGCATATTTGGCCCCCATGGCCACACCCCTTGCTTGCCTATAATATTTTCCAGAGTACCAAAAGTAATTATGTGACATAGCTAAATTTAAACTATTAAGTATAAATTCAGTTTGCTGTGATTTCAAACCTGCTTTAGCCTCTAAAGCCCACTTAACTGCTCCTAGTGCATCCGAATGTCTTATATTAGTATACAGGGAGTTTACATCCACACTAGCCATCACACATCTCCCCTCTTCCCTAATTCCCCTAATCAGATTGATCAGATCACCACTATCCCTCAGATATGCTGGAAACATAGAAACTAGAGGCTGCAGAAACTTATCCACATATTCACCCAGTCTGCAAAACAAAGAATCTATCCCACTAATAATGGGTCTCCCGGGGGGTTTATTAAGATCTTTGTGGATTTTTGGTAATTGATAGATCACTGGTATTATTGGGGCAGATGGTACCAAATATTTAATCTCCTTTTTGTTAAGTATTCCTCTTTTACCACCCTCTTTGATATGTTTTATTAACAGATTCTTATATTTATTGGTAGGGTTACCCCTTAACAACTCATATGTTTCAACATCGTCTACCAATCTACTTAATTCTGTATAGTAATCTACCTTTACCTATTTAATACCACCAAGCCACCACCCTTGTCTGCCGGCCTTATAACGATATTTTTATTTTCCTCCAGTTTTTTGGGGTCTCTATACAAAAGTCGCTGTATATGAAAAATAGATCGTTTTTAAAGAAAGATCGTTTTGTTCCAATAAAATGCGGGTTATATCCTGCTAAAATGTGAGTGGTCTGGAGAAATTCTTTTGATTGGAAATCACTACGGTATCACACTATGGTTTTTTTTCTTCTTCCTGATTTTCCCTGGGGGATTCGGTGAGAGGAGTAACCAGAAGAGGTATCCATATCCGAGAGGAGGCATTATTTGGAGGTCTTATACAAAAGTAAAGGGGGTCCAGGAGCCCTTAATATCCCTGAAAGGCGTTTGACTCACCATTATCTGGTGAGTGCGGTTAATGTTGGTTTTGCACTGGTGGATGGTGAAGGTATCAAAGGCACGGAAGAATCCAATGAAATTACAATATAATTAATTTTGTCACGGGACTGTTATTTTGGGATTTTTTGTCACTGGACTTATTAATTCTAAAATCATTTATTTATTTTTTCATTACTATTTCAATAACACAAAAGTGTTTTTGTGTCACAGTTTTTTAAGTTTGTAATATTTATTAATTACCAATTTAATGGGTTGGGTGATGCAATTTATTATGTGGGTTTGCGCTGGTATTTATTGATATAAGTTTTTTTGGTTTTTGCACCTGTGTACAGCAGCATCTCACGGGGAATAGTGTGTGTAATAAGAGAGTCCTGGGCGCTGAGGTTTTTTCTTCTTTACAAATACTGTATATACGCTCCTCTATGCTGCATCATTGGTGTGATTTTTGTAAGTGAGGTCTCCAGAACTGGACACAGTATTCTAAATGAGGTCTAACTAAAGATCTATATAGGGGAATCAGGGCCACCTTCCTACTGCTGGTGACCCCTCTAGTGATGCATCCTAGAATTCTTTTTGCTTTCCCCACTGCCTGGCCACACTGTTTGCTCATTTTGCAATCATCTGAAATAAGTACCCCCAAATCCTTTTCCTCAGTAGTGCTGGCCAACAATGTACCCCCAATGTTGTACTCTCTCAAGGGATTATTTTTCCCTAGGTGCATTACATATTTAGAAACATTGAACTGCAGTTTCCACTTTTTTTTACCAATCTTCCAGCAATGCCAAGTCATGTTCCATGTTACATACACCTCCCAGGGATATCAACCCTATTGCACGCCTTTGTGTCATCAGCAAAAATACATACTTTACCCAACAAACCTATAGTTATATCACTTACATATAGGTTAAATAGAACAGGGCCTTGTATAGAGCCTTGTGGTACACCACTAGTGACTGGTCTCTTTTCCGAGTGAACCCCGTTTACAATCATACTCTGGTACCTATCTTTTAGCCAGCTGCATATCCACTGAACCACCCAACGGCTAACTCCTAGCTTGAACAACTTTTGTATTATTATTTTGTATTATTATGTGGAACTGTATCGAATGCCTTGCTGAAATCAAGATATGCTATGTCCATAGCACCACCCTGCAGCAAAACATTGGTATTATAGTCAAAAAATCCAATCAGATTAGTCTGCCATGATCTGCCCTCAGTAAAGCTATGCTGCTTTGGATCCAGCAAGCTGTGTCTTTTTAAGGCTAGGTTAACACCTATGCAGTTTGTGTTTGATCCATTACTGCAGTGTATTGTGCGTTTTTGCACATGCATTTTCCATGTGTTTTTTTTTTTTTTTTTCTTGTTGCTGGGCAGATTAAAACACAAAACAGATAAAAAAAAAAACTCACTGCATGCTTTTCTGCAGCATCTCCATTGAAAGTTTTGCATTTAAAAAAGTCACTGACCCTTTCTAAAAAACGCAGCGGGTAAAAACATGTAGATGTGAACCTGTCCCATAAGAAATCATGTTAATTGGATTGCTGTGGTTTTCTGCAAAACGCAGTGGAAAACACATAGGTGTGAACCTAGACTTCATGATCAATGATCCTTCTTTTCAGGAATGATTACATTAAACTTACTACATCTGATGCTAAACTCACTGGCCTGTAATTGCCAGCTTCTACCTTGCTGGCCTTCTTGTGGATAGGCACAATATTAGCTGTCCACCAGTCATGGGGAACTTCACCTGTTAGAAGAGATTGATTAAAAAGATCAGTTAATGGTCCAACAACTATACCTCGAAGTTCTCTTAGAACGCTGGGATGAATACCATTAGGGCCCATTGCTTTATTAATCTTTAAACGAGTTTATCCCCTTTCTTTTTTTAATTCCTTTATTTATATATGTTCCTTGTTCAAAAAGCCAGAGATTGCACAGTACAAAGTATACAGAAGATAAGAACACTTGGCAGTAGATGAACCAAAATAAGAGGATACAAAAGTAAACTATCGAGGTTATGGTAAAAACAGGTACAAACAATGGTATAATAAGGCAGTTCTGCAGCTACAATATCTTGGCCCGGGGTGCCTGAGTAAAGGTCTAGTGTATACAACCACCTGTAAAAGCCAGTAAAAGAACCGGGTTACCAAAGGTTGCTCATGTACCGACAAAAGAGGAGTGGAAAGGGACAGAGATTCAGGCACCACATTGATCAGTCACTTCCAGTATATAGCGCCCGATTATATGGGAAACCAATGGACAAACCTATGAATGGATGGAGGGAGCGAAGTAGGATAAGAGATGGGATATCGGAAAGGGCAGAGGAAAGTAGGATGGGAAAAAAAAGGGGAGTAGGGGAGGAGGGTGAGAGAGGGGGAAGAGGGTGCGGAAAAGGAGGCAGGGACACAGATCTCAAACAAAGATCCTCAAGAAAATCAAGGAAAACCGAATATGAAGTCGAGAAGAAACTAGTTGAGTAGAGAATAGCATAATAAGGCAGAGCATCCCTACCATCTGGGGACCACACCAATCGGGCGAGGTGGGGCCCCGGAGACCAGCCCAGGAGATTGCTGAAGGTAGCAGTCAGTATAGACAAAATATTGCCACGGTCTCCAGGTGTCTCGGAAAATTTCCCCACGGTCATATAAAGAGGCTGTGAGGTTCTCCGTGTCTCTTAGCTTATTGACTTTGGAAAACCATAGGGCCCTCGTAGGTGGGTGTACAGACCTCCAGCACAGGGGAATGCAAGCTTTCACCGCGTTTAGCAGTTGAATCATCGAGGCCTTATATATTTTAATTGGGCGATCTGTAAGGTGTTGTCTGCAGTGATGCCGCTGGATCATGTGCCATGTCAACATTTGTCAAGTCCTTAATGGTGCTGGTCACGATCTGCCAGAATGGTTTAATCTTAGGGCAGGCCCAGAAGATGTGGAAAATCATACCCCGGTCAGCACCGCATCTCCAGCATAGGTCTGGAATTTAAGGAAAGATGCGATGTAAGGTCATAGGGACCCTATACCACCTGGTCAAGATTTTATAACCAGTTTCCTGAACCTTAGAGGCAATGGATGATTTCTGTGAAAGGGGAGAATCTTCTCCTGTATGTCCGTGAAATGAATGCCAAAATCAGCTTCCCAGTGCAATAGGAAGGTAGGGTTAAAGTCTTTTTACAGCAAACAAAATGGAGAGACGATGTATAGGCACTCGCTTATGACAGACATTTTACAGTTCTGTCAGACGGTGACAAATTGCCGGAGAACGGGAACATCGTCAAAGAAAATGTTGAAGTTGTAGATTGTTCCAGAAGTCTAATGGAGGGTCCATGGCCGTCGATAGGATAGAGGGGGCGAGATTGCCATCGGGATCCAGGAAATCACAAAGATGTAGGCGCCTGGTGGCAGCCAAGCATTGCAATTGGGGGTTGTCCAATCCTGGTTGAATTCTGGATTCTCCAGAACAGGGATCATAGGGGAAGGCAGCGGAGAAAGGGAAGAATTACCAAAAATCTCCCGAGACACCAACAACGTGCTACCGAGTGTAGGATGGTCCGCCAAGGCACGTGTGACGAGATCCAGGGCCAGCTTCTAGCGGTGCCCCAGGAATCCTCCAACTCCATCGCCACCCAATGCTTTGCCTCTCTATGGCAATGCCAGTCCACTAACCTCTTCAAGTGGGCCACTCTGTAGTAGGCACGGACGTCCGGAAGACCCAACCCACCCTGACGCTTGGGAAGATGTAAGATGGGAAGATGTAAGAGCCAAAGCTGGAGACGAGGTTTCCAATGTGACCAAATGAAACCTCGGTAGAGAGCATGAACCTTTTTGAAAAAGGAGGGTGGCAAGCGAATGGGGAGAGCCTGAAGAATGTAAAGGATCTTAGGGAGCAAAGTCAGATGGGGGGCACAGTCACAGATGGGGTGCTGCTTTTGCGTGAGTGCTGCTTTGATGGAGTGCTAAGACTCAGTTGAACACAGCAGTTTAACTGAAGCAGAATAACTCAAGCAGCAGTGTCAGGAGCCGCGGCGGCGTGTGGCTGTACGCAGACGCAGTGTGCCGGCTCGCACTGGTGTGCGGGCACTAGGTCCTGGCCGGCTGCGGCAGAGACAGAACTCGCGCATATGCACTCGGGGCCGCGGGTGCGCGCCTGGCACCAATGACAGCGCAGGGCACGGTATTTAAATCCGCTCTGCGCTGACACTGGTTGCCGTTTGGTCTATCCTGTGTTCCTGCTTCTGTATTTGTTGGTATTTGATCCTTGCTGACCCGGATTGTTCCTGACCGTGCTGTACTCTCCTGCTCTGACCCCTGGCTTGCCTGACCTCTCTCTTGAATGCCCCTAATTTGCTCTGACCTCCTGCTGCTGACCCGGCGTGTGACCTGACCATTCTTTGACTGCTGCCTTGTACTGCGCTGCCCCCACGCTTACCGACTCGGCCTGTCTGACCACGCTTCTGCTCATCCATCCATCCATCTATCCATCCGTCCTGCTCGGGCCCATCCGCCTCTTTGCATCAGGCTCTCAGTTTGCAGATACCTCTGGCGGATCCCTCTACCAAGGGTGGGTGTACTCAGGGGCCGCAACCTGGTCTCGGTCTGCTCCAAGTCCATCCCCACCATCAGGGGCCCTGGTAAACAAGCAGACTGGGACTTAGACTTAACGCTCTGGGGAACCCTATTCCGTGGATTGTTAGAGGTACTGCCAGGCGGGTTCATTACAGTACCAAATGGCCATGACAGAGCCTGGAAGAGGACCATCCCCACTAGAGGACATATGCCAGCACCTGGAGGCTCTGACCCAAAGCCATCAAGACACTGCAAGATGGATACACACATCTGGAGAACCGCATTCAGACACTAGCCGCACCTGCCACCACCTCCCAAAGTCCGGCTACCCCT